AATTCATACAAAACAATAAAGAAAATATAAAATTGTATGGCGTATGGTAATTCGATTAGTTCTATATTTAAAACAGCTTCTTTTCTTTTTCAAAAACCTAAAAGAAGACTTTTTTTTTCAAGAAAATTAAATAAAAATTTTGAAATATGATGGATGTGGGCTTTTTGGCATGGGATAATGATGAATAAAGTCAAATAGAAAAAGCTATTGATAACAAATGCATGACAAAGAAAAAATGTAATTGTTTTATTTTATTAACAATTAATTATCTATTGTTCATGCATCAAGAAAATTGAATACATGTAAATATAAAAAATTAGAATTAAATAATCAATCAATTAATTTTAATACTTCCAACAAATTGTAATCTGAATCTTCATCTAATGATAATGAACAAAGTGATAAAAGCAAGTCTTCTAAATTATTCTTTCTGTTATTATAACTTTTTTGACCAGCCTCATAAACAGGATACATTTCATCAATTTTGTACAATTTTCAATAAGACAAAAAATTTCAAAAAAAAGAAAAAATTGAATATATTAATTTAATAAATTAATAATTTAATATTTACAAAAAAGAAAATAAAACCAAAAAAAAATTAAAAGACGTTACGCCAGACTACATATCGTCTGCGAAATTTAAAAATGAATAAACATCAAAGATAACTAATAATTTGATTAATTAATAAGCTGAAAATTTTTAATTTAATTAAGTTTGAAAAATAAAATAGAAACATACCTTGATTTGTGTCTCCAAAACGTACGAAACTTGTTCGTAATGACAATTTGAAATAATTCTCGGTGACTGGTAAAACATTATATATATTGTATATATATATGTATATAAATATATGTATATATATAATTACAATATGTATATAAAAATAATTAAAGGCCTAAATTGTTTTATTCTCGTTTGGAAATCATTGAATTATGAAAACTTATTTATTATTGAATAAATTTAAAATGATTTAAAAATTAATTTAAAAATTCAATTATAGTACTAAATCCACACAAATTAAATATTTATTATTAACTTAACGAA